AATCAGAAACGTAGTTGTTGAAGCGCAAGAGCTACTGTTATTTATAATATCTAATTGTCAATATAGGAGCGCTGTCAGAGCGATCATTGACGTCGTGCGGTCAGAGAATAGCCGCTAAATGATTCCCTTGCTTCAGTATAAACTCCATGCAATTATTATATCTGTGCCAGAGAGACGTGTCTCATGCAACAGAAATTATAATATCTAATTGTCTATACAGCAGCGCTGTCAAAACGATCTTTGACGTCGTACAGTCAGAGAATAGCCGCCCAATGATTCCCTTGCTTCAGTATAAACTCCATACAATTATTATATCTCTGCCAGAGAGACGCGGCTCATGCAACAAAAATTATAATATCTAATTGTCAATATAGCAGCGCTGTCATAGCGATCTTTGACGTCGTACAGTCAGAGAATAGCCGCCCAATGATTCCCTTGCTCCGTATATACTTCATGCAATTATTATATCTGTGCCAGAGAGACGCAGCTCATGCAACAGAAATTATAACATCTAATTGTGAATGATCACTCTGAGAGCGCTGCTATATTAACAATTAGATATTATAATTTTTGTTGCATGAGCCGCATCTCTCTGGCAGACATATAATAATTGTATGGAGTTTATACTGAAGCAAGGGAATCATTGGGCGGCTATTCTCTGACCGTACGACGTCAAAGATCGCTCTGACAGCGCTCCTATATTGAGAATTAAATATTATAATTTTTGTTGCATGAGCCGCATCTCTCTCTCTCTCTCTGGCAGACATATAATAATTGTATGGAGTTTATACTGAAGCAAGGGAATCATTGGGCGGCTATTCTCTGACCGTACGACGTCAATGATCGCTCTGACAGCGCTGCCATATTGACAATTAGATATTATAAGGAGGATGTTAAAGATAGGTCGATTTTGGCCCATGGTGTGGAACCAAAACTACAAATGGTTTCTCATAGATTTTATACCGTAGAATCACGTGGTAAAGTCCGTTTCCTCTAGACATTATTTGTTAAAATATTTATATCTTAAATTGATAAAAGTAAAATGCTGGCAAAACGAACAGAAAGTTTGCAAAAAAATAAACTATCGTTTTTTATTTATCAAGAAGTCTCTTAGACCGCTGTTAGATAAAAGTGCGTCACGCCGGAAAGACAAAGACTCCGATGTAAGTTACGCTCAACAACTTTAGTCGTAAACAACCGGAAGAAATCTTGTGTACACTTCTTCTTCCATCAGTCGAACCTTTCTTTTACCGTGGAGCAGCGAAGCGAACCGAGCCAGATATCACCGCGTCCGATGTAGTTTTTTGCCTATCTCTTCCCCTCCCTCCCAGCTCGTTAACGATCGCCGAGTAGCTCGTGTTGTCGGCTATTAAACGACGTAGGCATGAGATAGATCTACTCGTTGAGATTACGAGTATCAATGTTTTCGGTGTTGAAAATCGTAAACGATCCAACGTGATACCCGCAATGCGTCAGCAAGAATATATTCAACGCTGAAAGTACGTGACGCGCGCGGGGGAAAAGACGTGATAAAAATATTTTATTTACTGCCCGATTTTCCAAGACGGCATTCTGCAGTTATATATGATTTTATTCAACAGAAGTGATAGTATTGCCTATCGAAAGGGTCGTTTCAACTACGACGTTTAAAAGAGATAGGAAAGGGGACAGTGCAAACTTGTCGCAAGTAGGGCGTAATATTTCCGATACTTTCAATACGCGCCTATCTTCCTGGTGACACGTACTCATACACATCGACGTCAGTGTATAAGTCCGCGCGTAAACTCATCGTGTGGGAAGCGTACAAAGCGGAATGAAGCGCCGGCTTTAGGTTCTATACTCTATCCGTCGCTCCCACCTCTGATACATTGTAGACCGGCACACAAGCCGATGGCTTTTATCTAAAAGCACAATGCACGAACTGTTCTTCTTTCGCGAGTTGGCCGTTCGTCAATGTCAATAAAAAGAATATGTCAAATGGAAAATCAGCTTAGACTCGCTGTTTCCGGCCAATAATTATTAAAAGAAAAGTACACAAAAAATATTGAAAAAAGTATTTTAAAAATATAAAAATATATCGAAATGTTAATAAAACGTTAAATGCTTAATAAATATAATTTCACTATTATAAAATAAAAAAATTAATACATTATTGCTAGCTAAATTGCTAATAATATTAAAAATACATCAATGATATTAGTAAACAGAAACACAGATGCAGAAAATGCAAATGGAGTTAAATATTAAGCCGCCTCATCGGTCAAGATGGCTTATCGTGATCGATAACCTATTCGCATCGACGAATCAATAAGATGATTCGCTAGCCACGTGCGATAGTCGAAGAAACCGATCGATCACTTCCCGCCGTGCGTCTCCGACTGCCGAAAAAGTAATTGTCGACAACTAAACGCATAAAAAGCGTATATCTTTGCAGAAATCTGCCTCCGATCACGTGCTAACGCACTCGACATTTCATTCCCTTACGTTCCCCTTCTTTCCGGCTCCCTCTTCAAAAGGTAATTTACGAATCCGAATCAGTCGACATCCATCAACCGGAAAAAGTATTACAGATCTCGATTCGCTCGCAGCTGACTGCCAACTCGAGATACGGATTATTGCGGGGAAAATCGCGTTCTGCATCATTTACGAAATGATAAGCGTTTTTACGTACATCGCGAAATTTCATTTTATTCGAGTAACAAAATAACATTTTAATTCGGATTAATTCGCATTATTCTGTACTCATCGGAATTTAAAAAGTCTGTCGCATGTGTGCAACGTTTTGTAATTACATGCTGCGAGTGAAATGTATAATACAATTTTTATCGTCGTTAAAGCGCGCTCGCAGCTGTCCGCGATCCCGAGAGTTTTATTGTCCCTCATATATTCAACGCGACGAAAAATGCGTCATTGTGAAACGCGTGCGAATGTTCGGCCAAACGCGATCGAAGTAGCCCGCACATAGATACGCGGAAGCGTAGACGGCTGTACCTTCGTTATCTGACAAACGGAAACGACCGGTGCGGTCGACGTGCGTACACGCGCGCGCGGTTTATTCACGTATTTGCCCGTACATTGATTAAACTTTGTGCAGGCGACGGCTATTTATTCATATTTTCGATGTACGACGTAGTTGCTCAAAGAGTGGTTGCAACCGCTGAATGACATGACTGGGCTTTTATCAGCGGAATCGAATGCGCTGTATGTTTCATTCTCGATTTGCCGTACATCGCGCTTCATCGAATACATTCCGCCAGATCAATGAGTGCCGAAATAGAGAATGACGATATTTCATTTCGTGAAAGATCAAACGAATATTTTCCGCTGTTTGCAGAACAAATGCAAAGAATTTAATATTTTCTTAGATATATTTTCTAAAATATTTCTCTCTAGCATAGCTTCTAGATTTTTTAATACGTCAGATATAATATTTTAACGATTGCGCAATAATGCAAAATGAGAATAACACGGTAATTTTTTTCCCGCAATTGCAGCGGCTCGACGAAACCCGCAAATAAAAGTCGTCGCGCGTTAAATTACGGGAGCAACGAAAGCACACAAGTCGTGCTTTTCAAGCTCGGGGCCATAATTGATTAAATAAATCCGCGTCGGCGTATTTCACGGCGCGAATCACTCGTCGCCGTGAACACCGTACGTTTCTCTCGTCGGCGAGAAAAAGAACAGTTCCCAAGGACCCGTAACTTCCAGCAAAACGGATTTACCGGGCATTCCGTGCCTTTATTGACATTCGACCGGCGATAAAAATAGTCACCCGCTCTTCCTCTGTCGCCCACGCTCCCGTGTTTCTTCTCTCGTCTTTCGCTCACCGCCCAATAGGTCCATGCATCAGCACCGCGTCACGTAAAGCCCAAACCCAGCCTTCGTGTACTGGCATTTACCGTCATCCCCCCCGCCAGGTCGACATCGCCACGGCGGCTCGTTCACTCGCTCTCGGCCGTAGGCGGTGTGTGCGCGGCACTAGAGCTCGTTCTCGAAGCTCTCGCATTAGAGCTCTCGCAATTTGGGAACTCGGAGGGTAGACGACGCGCGTTCAAACTCCCATCAGGTCGGACGATAGAGCTTCGGGGGATAACAAGAGAGAGGGTGCCCGATGCGGTGGTGGCTTAATCACCCGACTAATTCCAAGCGTTTCGCGGTATGCTCGCACGACTAGCATCGAGCTAGATTCACTCGCGCTGACGATAAATTATTGATGTCGTATGATTCGTATTATTAATGCGATCTGAATTACGCATTGCCGGCTACTTCGATACCGCTTGATAAATTGTAGCCATCGAGCGTTGGCCCGCAATTACTGCCCGCTCGTTAATTACAGCTATTATAGTCATTGTGTATATAGCAACGTCTATAATATAAAGGTTTATCGCGATAAACATGCCTTTAATAGTTAAATTATATAGATATTTTTTTAATTACTTAGTCGCGTGTCTCATTAATCACATTTATAATTATTAATATTTTCATTAGTGTAATAGTATAGTATATCAGGATAATAAACTCTAGTGGATAAAATGGATATATAATAATGTAAGTATATGTGAATAATGACATCAACACATAGTGTGCTCACAAAGGAACACGTGTTTATAGAAAATATCCAGCCGCTGGGAGCAGTTAAGTGAAACTTAACGACGTTAGCCGTTGTCTGGAAGGTTCATAACGATCAGCATCAAATTACGGTAGCCCCTCGACCCTGATAAGTACTTAGTTTACCTCGAAGTGCCGAAAGTACGGTTTTTAATTACGCCCGATTAAGCAGAAAGGTAAACTCAAAGTCCCTCGTGGCTTTCTGTTTACATTAATCACTATTAAAAAAAAAAAAATTGTCGCGTGACTTATTTCAAAGAAACAGTAAGTTTGTGTTTTTCTACATGTACCTATAATTTAAAATATGTCGAAAATAAAATAATTTCAGAAAAGAAAGTATGTAAAAATCATTGTTCATACGGGATTGTTAAAATTTTCTGATCGAAACTTACCAAATAAAGGAGGCGGCTCAACGTCGCGTACCGAGAGACTCGACGACGCCTGAGACGCGCTGGATTCGGTGCTCTGCGTACATCTCAGGCGCTTTCTGAGTTTCGGCATATCGAAAGGCAGATCCCTTAGGTCCACGCTCGTCGCACTTCCGGAAGTCGTGGCGTCCTGCTGCATTAATAACCGCCTCCTCCGTAACTTCGGCATGTCGAAAGGCAGATCAGAGAATTCCGGTTCATTGTCGACGAGATTGATATTGTCTAACTGCGGCTTCAACAAGTGGAAGCCGAAGGGCTTGCATTTAATACCGGCGCGGGACTCGATGGAGATACCGCTGTCCGACCCTTGAATTTCCGCGTCGCCCGACGACGACGATTGCAGAGCCAGATTAATGAGATTTTTGTTCTGCGGCGTGCGTCTCTTCTTGAAAGACGTGTCCAGAGGCGAGGTGACCGTGTTCGTGTTGGCCGCGTTCGTGTTGGTATTGTTGCTCGCGTTATTCTCCGTCGCGTTCTCCTCGGGCGAGGCCTTCTGCGAGTTGTTGTTGCGATTGTTGTCGGAGGTCTCCGAGGCCGGCTCCTGCGACGACTTGTCGGAGATCGGCGAGAGTATGTGTAGCTTGGTTGCGTGATGCGTCAGGAAGCCGGGCAACGATGGCTGCTGGTGATGATGGTAGCCGCAGTTGGTGCCGCCGCTGTCGGAGCTGTGAGAACTCAGCGATCTGGTGCTGTGTCGGCTGTCGGAGCTGCTGGTGGATCTGTTGCCCTCGCTGGTGCTACTGCGGATGGACTCCATGCTGCCGCCGCTGCTGCTAGTCGCCATGCTCTCGGTGCTGGAGTAACCGGCGCGGCGTCTCGAGCTGCGCAGCTTGAACTCCAGGAGACCGGCGTCCCTACGCGGCCGCGCGCGCTCGTTCTCCGCTTCGTGAGGCCTGCCCTTGAACTCCATTATCGGCCTGTTTTCGCGAATCAGACTGCGCGGTCGTTGCCTCTCCTCCCGCGGCCTGTCCTTGAATTCCAGTATTAGCTCCTTATCGAATCGGCGGCCCTGCGACGAATCGATGTTCTCTTGAACGAAGGACTTCGGCCGGCTCTTGATCTCGAGGATGCTGCCCTCGCTGCTCTGCGGCGAGTCCTTGGCGCGCAACGACTTCACCGGCAGTCTCATATCCTTCAAACGAGGATGATCGGGCTGCGAAGGTAGGTTCGGCGCGCTGCGAATGTTCAATAGCAAATGGTCTCGGTTTCCGTGAAATTTCGCGGGTAGAGGCGCAGTCGACGGCGGCGACGGCGTGTAATCGCGCGCCGGTAGTCTCGGCGATCCGGTTTTCTCATCGCTGGAATTGATCTGGAGGGACTCGATATCCTGGGACAGTGTAGATATATTGTCTGGCTGCTGCTGCGATTGTTGCTGCTGCTGTTGCTGCTGCTGTTGCTGCTGCTGCTGCTGTAAGCGGCTCGGAATCGGTTTTGGGCGGAGAAGTACGACTTTGCGTCGATGGTCCTTGCTGGTTTGCGATTGGCCGGCATAAGGAAGTGATTGCTGATGTTGTTGCTTCGACGTATCCGTCGACGAACTCGTTCGGCTCGCTAGAGCAGTGCTACCGCTCCGTATCTGTATTATCCGAATTTGATTTTTGTAATAACGGCACTTGCATAATCCACTTGAATACTAGAAATGGGCTTGTTAAAAAAAATTTAACTTATCTAATTAAATTATAATTAGAATAAAATATTTATAATAAATAATAATATATATTTAAATATAAAAAATGATTAACATACATAAATGAACAAAGTTAAGCAAACGAAGAAGATCTGTAAATAAAAATTCTGCAATTAAGCATACAAGTTTGATGTTAATTTAAAATTAGAGATAAAATTCAAGACGCGGATTATAGATTGAAGCGAGAAGATGTAAATACCTGAGAATGCAACACCGCATGATTGGTGACGCGATCGAGATCATCGAGGTCGTCGTCGGATCGATTGACCTTGCAGTCGAAGGCCGTCTCGTAGAGGTGACGTTGCCTGGCCATCCCTTCCTCGTCCTCCTCGTCGGGCTCCGCGTCTTCCTCTTCCTCCTCCTCACCCTCGTCCTCACCCTCCACGTCGTCCTCGTCCTCAACGAGTATCGGCTGCGGGTCTATCCTCCGCGTACGTCGTAGCTTGCGCACTTGATGCCGCGCCACTTGCGGCTGCCGTCGGTCTAGCTCATCCTCCTCCTCCTCGGGCGATGCGACGCAGGTACAAACGGCGGTAGGCAAATCATGGCTCAACAGTCGATGAGGAGGCATGAGGGTGTGATCCCACTCGGTGATGATGCACGACGAGAGGATCTCGCTTCTGGCTTGGACAGCATGCTCGCTCCCCGACGTGGGGCTCACCAGATCTTGGCTATGATAATGCGACGGCGGCGGCGGCGGTGGCGGCTGTTGCTGCTGATAGTGCCGTTGCTGAGTCGAATAGGAACCTCCATCACCCGCTACCGAGTTTCTCTTCGGTATACCGGGTGTGCGCGAACGCTCGCCCGGTACATCGAGACTGACGCTTTTTCGATATTTACTCGGCTGTGACTTCGACAATTGCTCCGGGACTTTGAAAAGATCGCCGTAGTAATACGGCGACGGATGACGTATCGGTTGATTCTGCTCGGTCGGAGATTGGTCAGCGAGATGTACTAGAGCGACGCAGTCCACGAGCAAGCCATCGGTCGACGTTAAAGTGTCTCGATCCGCGGACGGGGCGCGAGTCGAGGAAGCGTAGATACTACTCTTCCGTTTCCGAACGCTGACGAGCCGGCCTTCTTCGTCGTCTTCGCACGATGAACCAGATGCCGACGGATCTTAAAATATCGATCAAAGTCATGGAAAGTTAATATTGACATAATTGTAAAATATTTTAATTGTTCAATTTTATTATTACAACAAGCTATGCATAATTTGCGTTATTCTTATCAATTATTATACACAAAAGTATTCTGACTGCTTTAAAATATCAAGGCTTATCACGCCGAGAAATTCGTCGACCGTGAAGGCAAGATCCAGAAGATTTCCACGTGAGAAGATGTCTCAAGCATACAAAACCCACTTGTGCAGAGCCCCGAAAACGGTGCGAAATTTTCATAATCGTCCTGTTGTAAAGGACGCGCGAGGGACTCGGGTCGCCGAAGAAAGAGAACGAAAAAGCTCACGGGGAACGCGAAATTGCCTCGAAATGGCAGCCTCGTCTCCTTAAAAATCACTTCCTCCATCCGTAGGATATTACCGTAATGGTCCCTGGCCTCCTTGCCTGACGCGACGTGTCCTATCCTGCTTCGTCTCACAATCCACCACCCTTTTCATGCTCCTCGTATTCGTCGACCCGTTCGAGCATCGTCTAATGCCTCTTTAGGCTTTACGATCGTGTCACGGCCATTCGCGACAATGAAGAAAGACAAAGAGAAAGAGAGAAAGAGAGAGAGAGCGCGAGAGAAAGAGAAATCGGGCTGATGGAAGAAGCGCGAAATTACCGCGAACACCCGGTACATTATATAAGCACTGTACACATGCGGAGCAGACGAAAGGACTGAAGATAATGGGCGCATTATGCTCGACCGGAGAGCCCCACCGAGATCCTTCCTCGTTCCCTTTCTTCTTGGAAGGATGACAACAGCGAGGCGCGCCATAAACTAACGTTGGTTGCTCTGCGTTTGACAGGAATCGCGCGCGAATATATGGACGAAATTATCGAATGGGAAAAAAAATGCTTATCGGAAGCCGCTCTGGTCCATCGCCTCGCTCAGTCACCGTCGACCAGACACAAAGGCCAGCAATATCAGGATGCGGATATCGATCGCTCGGAAATGCAACGGCCGGTCTTTCTACGTCTCTTTGTCACCGGCTAATTTGTGTTTCATCAATCTCCGTGCACAGTGTGAATAATCATACCCTGCGCGCGTACACATCATATTATGTGTATAATTATTTAACGCGTTACGCTTTGAACATTTATTCTGCCATTCGAAGCATTAAACCTTATTCTACGAACTATTTAACAAAAGCGCGGCTAACGATTTCACAAAGTGATATAATTTGCCAACAAAGATAATATGTTGTTATAATGTAATATAATACAGTAGGTACGTTTCAATTACATGTACAATGTATTGAATTACAGTTAAACAATTTCAAGTCGGTCAAACTCGAAAATATGCAAAATTATGCACAGACGCAGGTGAAATGAACTATTACGCTGAAATTGTGTTGAATTTGTAAATAACCCGAGAGGAACTCCGGTGATTCCGGTAGAATGCTTCTCGTACGATACCCGTCAGATAAAATCAACGCGAAATCGATAGCGCGGCAGGATATCCCCAATTGCCGGGACATTTCACTATCGCAGGAGGGTTTAAACTTCATTTTCCATGGTCGAATACAAAGGAACGGCGCTCGGGGGATTCGCGAAGCGCGAAATGGGGAATTAATTCCTGGACAATGAATCCGGCAAATTATCACACGGTCCGCCTACCGCCGCGAATCTGGGAGCGAATCGCGCGCGATTTTCCTTCTCTTGTGAATTCACTGCATATTCTTGGCAGCGAGTGACAAACGGCGAAGGAGCGCCGAATACGAGGTTGTAGAAGAAATGGTCGCGAAACCAGACGTTGTCTACGTATTCAAACTTTCACAAAGGGACAGAATCGCGGGAGACGACTGATGATCCACCTCCGTCGCAAGAATGAAAAAGGGAGCGCGGGATCCATTATCTTTCCTTTTTATCTGAAGCTACTTCTTTGGCGACTTTGTTCCGCGAAACTTCCTATCGTTAAACTTTTAAGCATTCAAAAAGAGAAAATAACGCGATTCCGCATCCGGAATTAGAGTAACCGCACGATCCGCAGAATTAATAATAAAAATACCGAGTTGTTGTTGCCGGTGAAAGGAATGCTAACGAGAAAACGCGATATTGCTTCACTCGCGCGGTTGGTGTAATATCACGATAAAAATTATATCACAGAAGTATAGGGGAGCGCGCTCTCTCTGAGGCAACGAAAACAAAATGAAGGAAGCTCTCGTGGAAGTGGGATCGAAGGAAACATGAATATGTATTTGCATCTGTTCCGTTCATGCAGCTCGGGCAAGACGTAAGATTAAATCTCAGGGAGAGCAAACATATTAAAAGACTGCAATAAGCAAGGAAACGATATATTCGCGTGTGTTTCAATATCTACGGCGGATGGAGAACATAAAACGAATCCCTTTCTATTTTAAGAGATCGAACGAGATTTTCTTGCACATTTTATGTTACGCGGAAAGCACATAAAAATTGTGTTTGTCCCAGATTATCTTATGACGCAATCAACTGCAATGCTCATCCGTCGAGTTCGATTATCGCACGCAAGCGAGAAAAACTGCAGCCGACAGCATGGCGGTCCATCGAACGCACACACAAACATACATACAAAAGAGTGCTATGGGTTGGCGCGTCGCCAAATTGCAGCGATATTGATTACCGATCGATAATTTGATTTGCCAGATAGCCGAGGGTAGGTGAAAGAGAAAGTGCAGGGCTAGAAAGCTTGATCATCGACCGGTTCGATTAAATTGTACCGGATTACATGTGGTACCAGAAAAATGCGCACGACCACTCGCGTGTGACATGAATGAAAAATTTTGATTGATAAATGAAAAAGAGTCTGAATAATATCTGACTATCTCCAGCTCTGATAAAAATTATATCCTTTTAAATTATAGTACATAAAAATATAGCTGTGATTGATATCTTTTTAAACTTTGAAAGCCGAGATACTTTATCGAAATACCGTGTTACGCATTTCGTAAAATATAACTAAAATTGATAAATAATTAAATTCTATTTAAAATAAGTAAATGTAACACGCTGGCAGGCGTACGAGTACATGCCTAATTACATAACAGCACGGTCGAACGATGTAGATGAGTCAGTAACGGATACTACATGCGAATGAGTGATCGAGTGACAGAAAATGAAAGAGGGTACGTGTATGTGGAGTTGGGGGCGACGATACGCCGGATGGCAATGGTGCCCACCCTAATGAATCTATTACGGCCGGTGAGCGACAACCCTCGCCTAGCAATCACTACAGATAACACGAAACGCTGTCGCATGCATCCTGTTTACGTCGGTCTCTAGATAACGTAGATGGATGTCCGTGGCGATCTGTGCCAAAACTATGAAGAACCGTACTAGCTCACGTGTGAACTAGACAAAGATGCTGAAAGAAACAGTCGCGCAAAAGCTGTTATCTGCATCGATTAAGGTCAGCAGTTAACAGTGTTGCAATTGCAATCAACTTTCGATTAGAAACAGTCGCCAAGGTCATGGCGTGCAATCGACAACGACCTGTTATTGAAAATCGTTTATCGAACCCCATAACGCGCAATGGCTCGTATGGCAATCAGTCAAATTATCCGAGAGTAATTGGGATGGACGATACAAGCTTGACTCGGCTTGATAATTATCATTCATCAATCAAATCTGAAGCTTTTAGATTAGTAAATAGTTTTACGTCGTTAAATTAACGACAAATTTAAATGATATATGATATCAATTGCGTTCTAGTAAACAACGCTGATGCGTTAATCGGAAATTTCTGTATTGGATTTATTAAGCGTCGCGTGTGATCACGTTTTTCCGCAAACCACGGTAATCGTACAAAATATCCTATTCGGGAAGAGAGTCATTTCAACGGACGTCATAACCATCTCGCCATGCTGGTAAACGCAAACCTCCAGAACTATTCCGTCTCAAATTCTCGATTGTGCGATATTCCGGAACGCGTGACTTTATATCCGGCTTGCAATGATTGTGATGCCATTTATGCAATCTTTCGTTTCTTTCACGATTGACGGTCAGCAGCAGGCTGAGCGAAATTCTTAGGAAAGCTTTATATAAAAAAGGTGGACCGCACGACAGAAGCTCGCAGCCACTTCATTCCTTTTTTTATTAGATATTGTCGTCGTAACACGAGGTGGCGAGACGGTAGGTTTGCGGAATATATGGAATGTGGAATTGTATCGTCCTCCAGGAAGAAGAAAAAGGGATAAGGGAGGAGTAGGTGGATATAAAAAGGGCTGTGCAATTGCTCGATCTCTGACGATATCGTCGGCCACGTTCGCCAGAATCTTCGGGGCGTTTTACGGAGCAGCTAAAGATTATAGAGCTGAGCCGAGCGGCGATGAAACGAAAGCCAATCTCGGTTATTGGCTCCGTCGCGCCAGGATCCACGGTTACGATCGCGAGATTGGCCAAAGTGTCTCATGTGATATGTGTCAACCGTGTCATGAGTCGTGAAAAGATAACGCTTGGTTGCACGAAGATGAACATAACGTACCTCAAGATTATCAAATAGGTCCATAGGAGATAGATATCAGACTGATAAACATATCACGGTAAATTCTAGTCTCGTTGTCTCCATTATACGGAATAGCTTGAATTGACCGATCAATATCGCCTGTAATTTCGCTTATTTCAGTGTAATATTACATAGAATGTGAATAAATAACGATACCAAATTTTAGAAGCATATAACATTCGATAAAATAAACTGAAAAAAATCTTAATTAATATTGGTACAAAAATTGTTTATTTTTAAATTACAAGCCAGTTTTTACAAAAAATAGAAATTTGATTTATTTCAAGCGTTTGACATATATTTCATTAAAAATTAAATACGTGCAAAGATTTTAATTTTTAAATATGATGTATATCATACTAGTTGACACTTTGTTTGAATTAACACACAATTGAAAATTTCAATAAAAAAGCGTGCTAAATTATATATTGTATTTACTGGAAATCAAATTAATTTTTAATTTTTTTAAT